CATATATTTTTACTTTATCTCAAATCTAGGTGAGCCTTGGCCACTCTGGTAGGTTTAGGCCACAGATAAGTTTCTAGATTTACTTAATTATATGTTTGAGTTCTTATTCTTAGCAATAGTCTTAAACTATAAAACCCTTTTCAATTATGTAAAAAGTTTTTATTAAGTCTAATAAAGATAAGAGTATGGTCTCATCTTTAACATTTAAAAAATATATATATATATATATATAACTATATTGTAATCGAAGAAAACAATAGTATATTTTTTTATTGAGTTGAATATAATTATATAAAAAATAATAAGTTAGTAATAATAATATTCTGATCCGTTGAAAATTAGCAAAAATAAAGTTTTTGCTAATTCGATCCTCCCATGATCTTGAATAGTGATCAAGGATTAATATAGTAATCTCCTGATCACTATTCAAGATTACAAAAGAATTAATTAACAATATCTTGACTATATATGAATTAGAGAAAACTTTATCTCTGCTAATTCCCAATAGATCAGGATATTATTATTACTTATATGCTAGATATTATTAGGAAATTTTGCTTCTGGGTGATAAATAATTGTTGGAGTTATACTAATTTGAAAAGTGCTATAAGTTATTTATTAATAATAAGATATTTTATAATAATTAAAAATAATAGAAATTGAATCAATGAGAGAAGAATCAGATTAAAAGGAAGAAAAAATTAGAAAAGAAACTAAAGAAGAAACTGAAGAAGAAACTGATGGAGAAACTGAAAAGAAGAATGAGGAAAAAGCCAATAGTCATATTAATAGACCAAATATTGCCAAAATTATTAATTTGGTTAAAAATACAATTTATAATGCTCTTTGTAATTATTTTGATTCTTTGCCAAATTCAGTCTTACTTGTGAGTATTTTGAATCCTAGATTCAAAAAAATGAAAAAATGGCCAGAAAAAGAAAAGAAAAGAGCAATTGCTTTATTAAGATCTGAATCTACTCTTTTTAAAGATAAAGAACTTCTAAATAATAGTCAAGAGTCTAGCAATAAAGATAAATACCATTTTAAAGAGTATAAGAAAAAAATAAATAGCAATTTCAAATTATATTTGTTTGAAGATAAAGAAGAGATTATTAATGAGGATGAAATTGATTTTTATTTTGATAGATTTCAAACACCACAAGCTAATAGTGATAAAGATCCTTTTAAATGGTAGAAAGATAATAAGAAAGATTTTCCTGTCCTTTTTAAGGTATCTCAAAAATATTTAGGAATTCCTGTAATATCCATTCCTAGTGAATGTCTTTTTAGTGATGCAGGTAAGCAAATAATGGCTAAAAGAACTAGACTTAAGCATGACACAGTTAATGAGCTTCTATTTATTAAAAGAAATAGAGAATATTATAATTTTTATAAATAAAAAATTATAATTTTTATTACTGTGCTTTCAAATTTGCTGTGGTTATTAGAATCATACATATAGAAAATATTCTTTAAAATTTATTATATATCCAATAAATATACAGGATTTTGCAATATTTTATAAGTTTAAACAAAAGTATCACTATTAGAGATATAGTAGAATCATCTCAATGATAGTCAGCATACTGCTGTAACTTATCGTAACTATAGCAAGTAATATAGTAAGGTATGGCTATAATGTCATAACTTACAATATTACTTGCTATAGTCATAGTAAGTTATAGCAGTGTGCTGACTATTATTGGGATAATTCTAATTGCTATATATGTGTAACTATTTTTGAAGGACCCAATTTTTTTACAATAATGCTGTGAGCATTATTTCAGATCTTTATATAATTGTATACATAATTTAAAAGTATAGTAATTAAAAATTACATATAATATTTACAATAATGAAAAGTTCAGAATCAAGAAAAAATAGCATATTCCAAAATAAATAAGAAATATTTTAATTCTAGTTACTGGTTAATATTTAAGAGATTTATAATTTCTGGAAATCTGTAAAATACATATGTACTATTTGATCACAGTAATTTGAAAGTACTATATAATTTAGATCGTCTAGATAAAATAGTTATGAGTTTGTTAATAGTTTAACATAAGTTATCCAGATGACTTTTATACAGATACAATTTCTAGAAGAAATATAATTATATAAGGTTGATATAATATTTTTTAACTTGGTAAATATTATATAGTCGATCAATAATTGATCGACTATATATTCTCAAGCTCATAAATTATATGCTTGATCGATTATATTTGATTAAGCATAGGTAATTAATTTTTGATTAATCAAAAAATAATTTTTTTGATTAATCATCAATTAATGATTTTTTTGTCAAGTCAATTCCCTACTTTGTATAAAGCTACTGCAGTACCGAGACTTGCTTTTCGCTATGTTTTGTTTTTGGATAAGAAATTAGATATGTATATATTATAGTATGAATTGGCAAGAGATGCTGAAGCCAAATATTTTAGCTTGGTTTCTGTTATGGAAATAATATGGTAGTTGTTTTTTGCACAAAATTCAAGCCAGATTTGAAGTTTGAATGAATCGGTAAGCTCTTGAGCATTGTAAGTAATTATATTAAGGTATTTGTGAATATCAAGTTTCATAATTGAAGGTAGATTGCTATGTGGTAATGAGGAATTGAATAAGAAGTTGATGTATTTGGGGCTGTAAAGTCAGAATTAGTTGATGATAAGCTCATTTGTGAGTTTTCATTTATGATAATGGAGAGTAGTTATCTAAGATATCCTAGTGAAGGTCTGGTAGATTGAGGAGATTGAGAAGGTAAGAAGGTATGCTTTAAAAGTTAAAATGATTTTGTAGTTTTGTGATAGTGCTTTCAATCTTTTCATGTTTAGTAATTAGAATTTGAATTGTGTAGTGAAGGTTTGTTTGTTCTAGGTAAGAAGTAATCTCTAATAAATGCAATAGGAGTGAAAGTTTTTCTGAGCTATTTGTAGTGATCTGAATTTTGATCCATTCACTTGGAATTTGATAGAAAAAGTAGTATTCTCTCAGAAGCTAATCAGAGCTTTGGGGCTTCTAATTGGTATTGTTAGGTTTATTTTGGTAATAAAAATAGGTTTGCTAAAAAGTAGAGGTTTATTTGTGGAGTTAACAGTCATATAAGTTAATAGAAGTAGAATATTGAATTTGTATTTGTCTTGGATTTCTGCTATGAATTCTTTGGCTTGGTGAGTATCAGAAATTGGAAAATTATAAATTCTAGTTGTTTAATAGAATATAGATCTACTGAAAGTGTTTTTTTTTTGTATGAAGTAATCGTTTGGGATACATTGAAAGCTTTAGTATTTTTTGAGAATATCAACATATCTATAAAATTCTGTAGCATTAGTTGGATTGCAAGAGATCAGATGATGAACCGCTAAAGTAAGATTTTGCAGAGTTGATGGAAGCCAAGGTTTTGCTTCCAATAAGTTGAAATAATTAGGTGGTATTCTTTCTACAATACAATATTTTATTAATTTTGAGCAGTATTCAGAGAGGAAAGGTAATCTTGCCTATTCCATAATTGAAAAGAAATATCAGATTTCAATGTGGAGATCAGCAGGATCATCTAGGAGTGGTTCGAAGACAGTAAGGAAGTAACTGTCAGGGAGCTTCTCAAAGATAAAAATTTTTCATAAAACTAATACAGTTGTTTGAGTAAATTTGCGATCTTGAATTGGTAGTAGAAAAGAGAGAATTTGTTAGATAGATAGATCAATCTCAAGTGGATCTTGAGGTAATGGAATAAGTAATGCTATGTGGGCCTTATTGATCAAGCTACATAGCTCTTCAAAAGTAAGAGTACAATTTATTTGTGCAAAGATAAAACAATAAGTGATTATTCTGGTACAATTGTGTGGGCTGTTGGTCAGGAAGTCTGTATTGTATATAAAGTCTATTGCCAATTTGGCTTTGAGTTTTGTGAAGATCTGGTCTCTATTAAACTTATTTATGAAGCAAATATTATGTAGCCTTTTGTATTTTTCTACTGCTATTTGTAAAAATAAGTTGAATTCTTTTTGGTATTGTGGTTAGGTTTCTTTGTTTCTTGTAAATATTTGAAAAAAGGCTAAATCCAGATATTCAAATTTTGTTTTGATTGCATTTGGTAGGTTGTACTATGTTGGGTTAGTTTGAATTTTGTGCTGGAAAAATTTTAAAAGCAGCTCAGGGGATGAGAAAGTGTTAATCATTATATTATTGCTTTAGACTATTGTGTCGAAATCTTGTATACATGCTTTTGCTAGTACAATAGTAACTGAGTTACTAGGTAAGTGATTGGTCATCCTTGATATATTTTTTTTTTGGAAGGTTAGAGGTAAGTACACTACTGTATAACTTCTTAGAAGGTGTGGATGATTTGATTATTGCATTGAATTAGATATCTATATGATTGTCTAGGACTTTATTTGTTCAGATTGGTTGTATAGGATTGTTGAAAATTGGTGGTTGTTGGTTTGGGTTCTAGTAGTTGTCTTGGGTGAGGTCCGAAAATGGTTCGGGTATGTTGTGATGATCAATTGCCATACTTGTAATTCGGGGTCTTGAGGTATTTGAATTATTTTTTACACTTGTTTGTTTGTTTTAATTATTTCCTATACTATCTTGTTTGTTTGGATTATTACCCACATTTGTTTGTTTGTTTTGATCAAATAATGTCATTGATAATTTTAACAGAGGTTTGCTAAATTCCCTACTTTGGTTTAGATTTTGTAAAGCGATATGTAGTAAAGTAGTTGTGGTATTAATAGTAGTGTTAGTTTCATCTATATACTTAAAAGTTGTCTTTTTCTTTTTTAGTGGTAGTGGGTTGTCAGGTTTAGTGGGTTTTTGTTTTACGAGTTGGTTGTCTGAGGTCCTAGTGGGATTTATCAGATTGTAGTTAGATGATATTGGAGAAATAAAAAAGGGTTTGAAGGCTTCAAGAGTGGAAAGTAGTGTGTTTTTATCTCTTTTCAGCTTTGTATAGATGTTGTTAGGGTCTATTATGCAATATTTAAGAGGCCTAAAACCAAAAAAACCTATATGAACTATTGTATTTGTAATTTTACAAGTGTTTTTCTTTCAATTTTTTGTTGTTTTGATGATCTATGGGAAAGTTTTTTTTTCATCTATAAATAGTTATTATTATTATAACTAAATTAACAAATATAAAGAAATACTATATATAAATATTATTTTATTTATAATTAATATAAATAAAACAAGAAACTCTTTCTGATGATCTTTTTTACCAAAAACACAACAAACTTTTTTTATAAAAAACAATAGACTATAGTAGCAAAGGGTGGCTCAAGACTGATAAAAACTATAAACTGGTATCTGTTATTTAGAGATAGTTTTTATACACTACTTGCTAATAGGCTTAGAGCTTATTACTTATTGTGAGGATAGTACTTGTTATTTAGAAGTAGTTTTCATAAGCTACTTGCTAACAAGTTCAGGGTTTATCACCTACTAACAAGAAAATTAGTAGTTTACCAGGCTCTATATATTTTACTACTTGTGAAAAAAAATATACATTCCTTAAAGAAGAGAACAAGAGCTATTTTCAATACTATCACCTACTTGCTTTTCTTACAAAATTTTTATAAAAAGTGAACAAAACAGCTTGTCCTTGTCAAAAAATCAGCATTGTTTACTTTTTTCAAATTTGGATGATATTGTAAATTGCAACCGCATGTTTCAGATTGTTTATAGTCATGTTCATAGTATTATCGATAGAAGATTAGTATGTAGATTTTAATCATTTTTAATATTTTTTTTTTAATTTATTCTTTGACAGTCTTGTTGGTACTACAATACAAATATTTATATAGTAAAATCTGTCTTAGAAACAAAACCTATTTCTAGTAAATGTTTTTTGCAATTACGAGCCCAGCATTACCCGGCTACAGATACTGTGCCCAGATGCGACTTGT